TTCGGAGAACTATCCATTCGTAGACAATGACCGCATTTGAATTCAGACTTCCCTACTACTGTCTCCTTCCCAAAGTACGCTGAACCTTCCGCCTTTGAGCCAGTACCACAAGACAAGACCAATGATCTGTTGCGTCAATCAGAGATGGTTCGTGTCAGCAACTGCCAGTCTCTTGACTCTCACAAGATCCCAACTGTACAGACCAAGAAATGCCTCTCAGATTTCGTAGAATCGGCTCCCGAGGCCTTGACACCATCTGACAGTTATAACGATTCCCACTAGTTCTGTTGTGTGATCACCATCACAACGGATTACTCATCGTTCGTCCGTCCCAGCTAAACAAACAAAGGCAGCTTCATATCCTGAAGCATACACTCAAGCATGATAATATCGAGATTAGCATGAAAAGGAACTATCAACTCTATCAAATATCTATTTCAATACAGCAATCTATTTGTAGTTATTTTCGAATGAAGGTGTGAAGGCCAAGATGGTGTGGCCTTGCTATGGTCTCGGTATCTTTTAGCTCCCGGCGGCACGTCAGGATATATGCCAAGTTCACGGTGCGATGCAGAAAATTGTCATGGCTATTATGGCAGATGAGTCTGGAAAAGTCGAGTTCAGCTTGGTCTCCCTAAAAATGCGACTGTTTCGAAGAATAGGTAAAACCATTTCGGTATCCAGTTTGTCTTCTTGACCTGGTATTAGAGATCCGCATCGGATAATCTTCGCTTGAAAAGGTTCAGTCATTTTTAGAGGAAATAAAAAAAGATGTTTCGTGGATTGCGTTACCCTAAACATCGCATTCGAATAGAACAATTACATATGAACAGGAATCCATTGATGCAATCAACCTACTAAGGTTTTCATGAGGCAATTTTACACAAAATGAAAGTCATCATGTAGCTGTGATATGCCTAAAGACCGTCCTTTTCTTTCATTTTATTTTCCCCGGTATTCTATGTTCATGAATTGTTGGAATTGACTCAAGTTAAGGATCCCATAATTGAAATGTGCCCTCATAGTACAACATCACTAGGTACGCCAAAACAATATTCCTCGTAGAGATTTAACGCCCCACTACGTAATGGGTCAAAAAAAAAAAGTCATGTGTCAGTCGAAAGGTGACATGATGACGTAAGAGTGTGGGAATAAGTTCATTTTTATAGAAGGAAAACTGTCAAAGACATAAATCAACAATTTACATGGTGCCGACCGGAGCTGGTTCGAGAAAAGATGTTGCTTAGAGAACGAGAAAGATGACAACTCAACTGAGTATTTCGGATGTGGAATGTTGTCTACTTTTCAGCATTTATCAGCTTCATGTAGATCTTATTAAGCTCCTCCGGCAAAAGAAGATGCCTTTAAGTCTGGCTGACATCTTTCTTTTGGCCATTCTGTATGTCTTGGACCCCACTAGGATCAGGAACAACAGGCTATTTGGGAGAATAGGCTCCATATTGTAGGACTAAAAGCCGAATTCCATTTGAGCCAAGCATGTGTGAATTAAAAAGTTTAAAGCATCAAAACAAAACAAAGCGTACCCCAGGATTTTATGGTCTTAATGAAAGAAAGGCTATTGAAGTATGCGATCAAGAAAGTAAAGATAAGAGGACAGCAATCAGACATTTAACAAAGGAGCAGTTTCCAGAGCGTTTTATGTGTGGATACAACGCCAACATGGTGACGTCTGGTTAAAAAAAATGCACTTGGAAGAACCTACAGAAAATTTAAGGTGGAATGCTAATGAGATCCGTTAGAGTCTATCGGTTAGGAGGGATTATTTGAGTTTACGAAATGAAACTTTTGGAGAAGACCACTTCGGCCGGGATTTCATGCAACCAAAGTACAAGCCTACAAAGTAAAGAACCCCTTAGTTACAAACTCTGATTATGAGCTATACCGTCGACCAGTTGCATCAGACTTACTGGGGGCATACTGGACTGTGAGTGTGTCTTTTGGATACAGCTCCACTTCAAGTTGGCCAGCGCCGACATTCTTTCCCAACCACTGGCCAAAGGGAAAGTACCAAATCCGTCCCAATTTTGGTGCCTCCACCTCGACGTGATCGAGCAACCAATCAGATCGTATTCCAGATTCCTCCTGTCCGATTCTACGATTAGAGAAGAGGGAGGGAGATAGGAAAATTTATGAGAATAACGTCGATGAACTGGTTGAATAAGGTTGTTCTCACCCTTGGTTGCATAATGAAATGAATGACTGATAGTTGAATTTTCCCACTATTTGTTGAATAGACTTGACAATGCCAATGAATTTCCATAATTCTTGCCTCCTTAAAAGGTATTCTCACTCCTGCCGAACTCTCATGGGCCCCATCAGCAACTGTAAAGTGAAACTAGTGTCGTGATGCTTTGTATGAACAGCATGACAAACCAGTTCTCTTATTATCTCATGTTGCCTAAGGTCAATTACTGCCGATAGTAACGAAACCTAACTTTATATAATTACAAAATATGGGATGCCTCAGTAAGAGTGAAAAATAATAAGTGAGCATAATTACAGGCGAAACTTTTTTTTTAATTTAATGCAACATTGCCTTTTTTTACCAAATGGTTGTCTCTCGCTCTGGCGATGTCTGTCACGGCGGGGCAGAAGATAACTTAGAACGGATGCATTGTTGTGGAAGGAGAGTGAGCCGCAAACTTCATCACACAACCCAACGCAATCTAAAGCCATCTTTAAAGATAAGAAGACTAAGATGTTGTGGCCTCTGGTATGGTCGCAATCTCTTTTAGATTCATAGAAGTGGGTTAATTTGGCCTTGTTGCTAGGGCGAACGCACCTAGTCCGAAGTCCTGGGAATCATGACAACTACTATGACAGACGACTTCGGACTAGGTGCGTTCTACCAAGTCGCGACAACGAGTTCAACCCCTTTCTATAAAGGCATCCTTGTTTGTTTTCCATTGGGGCCAATTCCGTTTTGCTTCGAAATGAAAACTAGAATGGTACCAGGCAACCCTAGGTCTATGGGATTTTGCCTCTCAGCAAACTA